AATAAAATAAGTAATGATAATAATAAATACTAGTACTGTTAAAACAAATGATGATTAAGTATGGCATAATGAAAGTACATCAAGGCAGAGCAGTATTATTGAATGTCAATGTACTGTGTGAGGTGACAGGTGTTCAAAGTGACTCAGCCTACACACATGACAGAATGTGCTGGTGGAAATGCTGTATCTAGATATTGATATTCAATGAACTAATCAATTGATTGACACATGATGTTAGCGTTGTGACACATATGAGAAGTGATGATGGTTGTCATCACCATAACAGGTTGGATTATTTCAAAAACAATATAAAGGATCTTCAAAGTGCAAAGTTTAAGTTTTTGAGTGTGGCATGTCATGTCATTGCCTACTGTGGCAGTGAATTAATTATGTGCAAAAGCTCGCCTACGCCTCGCAGTTTGCATGTTGAGAAGCATGAGAGATCTTGCAGACATGTTGCTGGTGGGTAAAGAGTGGCCAGCTTCATTTTTGGGCAATTTCAATGATCACAGGTGCGTTCAGATTTTGGTGCAGTATCTCAGTCAAGCCAGCAGATGGGGTGCTTTCCCACCAATCTTTTAGTACCGAATGGACCCAACGTGTTTCCCTCATGAAAAACTGCTATTAAATTACTACACAAAACCTATTCGTGTAGTAGGGGCTGTGTAGTCACCTGGGGCCGGTTGCACCAACTGGTCTTTACTACGCCTGGTCGTAAGTCCTAAGACGGTCTTTGTTAAGACCAGTCTTAAGGAGTGGACTTACGCCGGTTGCACCAACAGGGCTTACGCCTGGTCTTAACTACGCTGGTTTTAGCTGTGCGCGTCCATGTGAATGCCCCCGGAATGCCCCACGCGGCCTGCCTAGAGGAGCGCGGTGACGTTAAATGACGTGCCACTGAATCACCCCGCCCCTCTCATCTGTGTTGACAGTTTATTTACAGTTTAAGATTTGAAGAAAACATGAAGGATCAACTAAAAACTTTACCGACACTGAAATTAGAAAATTAATCAAGCTGTACAGCGAGCACAAGGACGTATAACAAATAAGAAAAAACAGTCGGTATGGGCAGAGATAACGGGCCACATCAATACGTGTTCAGACTCTGGCTGCCTTCATACAGAGGCTGACATGAGGAAGAAGTGGAAAGATCTCCTCAGCAAGGCAAAAAAATACATCTCCTCCAAAAAAAATCATCCAACTGGCGGGGGTCCTCCCCGAAAACCTCAATTTACAGTGACATCATTGTTGACGTATTTGGGGAGGATTCCCCTGCCTGGTGGGAAGGCTGGTGGTAGTGCTGCGTTGCAGCCTAACACAAACTGTAAATCCAGTGACAGCTCTTCAGTAAGTTCAAACAGATCTCTCCTACCGAACTGAAACCTCTCAATCAGCTCCTCGTCATTAGGCTATGTCCAGTTGCTTCTGTCCCTAATTAGCCTACCCTCTCCCGTCTAAATGCCCGCTCCTATACAGACGGTGGATGAGACGTGCCATAATCAAGTTGTGCTCTCTGCGCTCTAGGGCGCATGAGCGCAGCTTGATAATGACCTTACACCTGCTCTTGACTAGGTGTAAGATTTACGCCCGGTCTTAGTGAGAAGAAGGCTTAAGCCCTGTTGGTGCAACCGGCGTATCTATTAGGTCGGACTTAGAACGCCAAGTTACCACCGACTTAGCTTAAGACCAGGCTTAAGACCAGTTGGTGCAACCGGCCCCTGTAGTAATTGTGTAGTAAATCTGTAGTTTATACACTACTCATGACACACCAGTAGAGTTTTGTAGTAAAACAGCAGTGTTTCCAGTAGTAACCAAGCAGAGTAGTGAAAGGGGCTGTTAAAATACTACTGCTTCATTACACAGGCATTCAAATAGTGATTATGTAGAGATTTTACTACTTGCTTGTATAGTAAATGTGTAGTCACAACACTACAGCAACACTACATATTTTACATAGTGATCAAGTAGAGGTTTTTACTACTTGCTCATATAGTGAATATGTAGTCACAACACTACAGCAACACTACTTATGACACACCAGTAGATTTTTGTAGTAAAACAGTAGTGTTTCTAGTAGTAACCACGCAGAGTAGTGAAGGAGCTGTTAAAACACTACTGCTTCATTACACAGGCATTTAAATACTGATTATGTAGAGATTTTACTACTTGCTTATATAGTAAATATGTAGTCACAACACTACAGCAACACTGCATATTTTAAATAGTGATCAATTAGATTTTAGTGCTTGAATATACATACTTGATGTGTATACACACAGTAGTTTTTCATGAGGCTCTGTGTGTATCTCAAGTATCATAGTGTTCAGAATAGACAATGAGAGTCTACTGTAAAATTGTTTTTTGTTTTTTATATATAGAAGCGAAGGTAATTTCTCAGGGATTTCATTTCGGGATATTCCACTGATCATTCATATACATTTACAATTCAATAAAATTAAAGGATATTTGTGATATAATACAGTAACTGAAAACACAACAGGATTTTTTTAATTGAAGTGATTTATTACTTTATAATTATCCAACCACACACACAATTTACAAAAACAGTTGTAGCCTGGCGAAATTAAACCAGCACAGGACACAGAAATATCTTTTCTACTTGTACATACTAATCAGTAGGTATGAGTAGTATCTAGTGGTAGTTCGTAGTAGTAGTATGCCTTTCGGACGCAGCCCCTGCTTCTTTGCTGAGGCTGCTGCCCCCGTGACCCGGACCCGGATAAGCGGAGGACGACGAGTACGAGTACGAGTAAAAACTTATTTAAGACAATGTAATGACTTATACAGCCTGATATTTAAAACTGTAAGGACTTGCAAACACCTTGTAGGACATAAAAGTATGTAAGTGGAGATTCTACACAGGCAAGAGTAAATGTCACCAAGTAACGTTACATAAACTACACCTGTATTTTTACTGTCTCTTGACCTCAGTATCTACATTATAAGATATTGTTTACTGTTCAAAGGGAGGTGTTGTTGTTACAGTCCACTACATTTATCTTCTAGCTGCTTTCAGAAGTTTCAGAAGCAGCGTTTAAACACAAATAACACCAAGTTGTTACAGTAAGAGGCACTGTTCAAGAGTCACTAACTGTCTACTACCGTTAACGTTAGTTAACGAGCCAGTAATAAATAAGTTAACACTCTGGAGAAACTCTTTTTCATGCCTATAATTTTTAGATACTTTTTTTACCGGTGATATGCTGCGCATTTACTTCCGAGTGATGCGTTTTAGATTGTGTTGTCGATACTTTAATTTGGGTAACGTTAAAGGAGTTTGGGTACTCCTGCCGAAGCTAGTTAACCTAGCTAATAGGGTCATTATATGAAAACGTGCCATTTCCCATTCTTAATGTTTGATTTTCAAAGTACTGTTTTAAAACTATTTATGACCCTTTTTGGATTAAATAGATCCTTACCTATCAGAAATAGGTGCTGTGCCATCTCAGGCTATCTTATTTTTTTATTTTTTTCCACATTTAATCAACATGCATATGTGTGTTTTGTCAACCCTGTTACGTTACACCAATTAGTGTTTGAAAATGTTTTAAATGCATATTTACAACAAATCTGATATACTTTGAAGGATAAATCTCCCCTTGTTACACTGAGTGTGTTTGTACAGTGGGAATATTGAGGTGTTTATGTTTTATCCATGGATGAATACGCTCATTTGCAATTGACACTTTCACAGACGAAAAACGTTCTTGGCAGCCATTACTAGCCATGTGGTGAAGGTCATGAGACCACATGGTGTGCATTCATTAGAGGCTTATATCATGTTATTTATGTACATTAAAATTCGAATATTTTAGATATTTGTTATTTCGAACAAATATCTTTTTAACGTGTCCTTTTGTGGAAACAGGGCTGACACAATAAGCTTGTCCCCCTCTGTCAAACATTATATAACTCTAAGAAAAATCATGAAAAGAAGAGGACACTTATTTGTCTTTTCACCAGCATGTTCACAAACGGAAGCTGATTTCACTCACTGATGATGCAACTTTCGGAGCAGTCCATTATCTCAGAAGGGGTGTTTTCATTAAAAGTAACAGGGTTGACGACTACCTGGTGACCCGACTAAATTGATGTTTTTTTTACAACATTTTACATATATTAGGATTAAAACCCATTCATGAATAATGAAAGGACACTTGAGGCTTTATATATAAGTTAATGTTTTTATGATAGTTTGACTTTTTTGGGCCTTAATAGCTAGTAAAAGTAAAACAATCATGTTGAGCGACAGGCCATTTTTACAGTTTTTGAATGATGCTTCATACAAAAAGGTGTTTAAAACTCTTTGAAAACAAAATAAATAAAATTTTACATTGTTTTAATGTTACAAGAGATATCATGGAAAATAAATTCTAAAATGATTATAGTGTATTTATTGTTTATTGACATTTACAGCACAGTTTTGTTTGAGAGACACAAAATGGCACGTTTTCGTATAATGACCCTGCTACATCCTGCAGAACCACGCCAATCCAGATGAAATACACTTTTTAGGTGGTCCCTTTAACGAGCTCTGTATCACACAAGCCCTACACCTTCCCTGGTTAATGTCAACAGCTAAAAAAGTGACAAACAGCAATGAACAATGGCGAATAGACCGCCTGGAATTTGAGAGAGATGAAGTGATAGAAATGAATGTGAAAAAAACATTTCAACTTCAGGCTCTTGAGGCAGATTTAAAAACTGCCGAAGTCAAAATCCAGGACCTGCAAAGACAATGCGAGGAGAGTGACATCAAAAAGGGAAAACTAACTGTCGAAACCTTTGACCTCAACAAAAGAATCCTGGATTTGCAAGTGTGCTGTAGAGGCATTGGAAAAGGAGCTTAGCGACAGCCAAGACAGTGTCGCTGCACTAAAGAAGGAGCAAAGAACAGATAACGAAACACACGCTGCTGAGGTGAAACAGCTCAGTGATAGTCATATCATTGAGGTGAACGACTACAAACAACAACTGGCTAGTCTAGAGGCAAAACTTCAAGAACAAAAACAGGACTTTGTCAGTGCACTGAGAGCAGAGAGGTCAGAACAAAAGAGGATTAAAGATCAACTCATGGAGCTGAAAGACCAAAATTGGGAGTTAAAGAGGACTATCAGTCGTCAAAAGGATTTGACAGAGGAGGTATTCGACTTACAGGGGACTGTCAAAGGCAAGGACAGAATAATTCAGAAGATGGAAAGGGACATGGCTGAGTACAAGAAGGAAAGACTTCACGTAATGAGAGACTGGTCGACGTTAAGAAACGATAAAGCTACTGCTGAGGCTTCACTGGATGGTCTCGCAAAGAGCAATGCAGACCTCCAGTCAAAATTAACAGCCACACGCTCAATTGACACCAAACTTGCTACAGAGCATCTTCAGACTGTCCTACAAAAACTATGCTTCTCAGATTTTTGATTTATCAAAAATTGAGCCTACAGTGCATCAAAATCTTTGACTGTAAAAGGTACTGTAAACATATACATGCAAATTCTTGCTAAATAAATCTTAAATGTTCAGGAAAAAAAGGACAAAATTCTAGAGTCATGGTAGATGATGTGTGGCAAATTTCAGAATTTTATCTCAAAAACTGAATTTTTGACAGCATTTTGAATTTTGCTCTAATGTGATCAATTGGAGTCAATGTAAAAATGGCAATTTCATCAGTTTTTCACTTATGGAACAAATCAATCATTGTTACAAACAAATTACCAACATCTCCATGCTGTCTAGATGCAATATGTATATTTTTGTTTCAATAACTGATGAATTTTTTACAGTGGTTTGAAATCTGCTTTTTTTTTTTCTGCAAGTCTGGCTTAGTCAATTTGTGAAGCTACACATGAATTGTCACTGACTAATTAGCTCCGTGAGACAGAAATTTATTCTTAGTCTCAGAGGTTGTGAGTTCAAACCTCAGCTGATGCAAAAGGCAGATTGTATTGCTAAATTCCTAAATGTCTTCCAATTCTTCTGCTGCTTCCAGCCTACCAACATTACCATCCTTAGAACTGTGCTGCTAATAAAACTTATTCAAATGTGACAAAGCAAACATTTCTCAAGTCAAGGCTGTGACGACTGGTCATAAGTAGACAATGCCTCATTTTCAGAGATAACAAGCCACAGACTAACTTATCATCTAACTTCTGTGGCACATTACAAGATAATTATATTTTTGGTGAGCAGGTCTGTGCACATGCATGTCCTCAGGGAGCTCAGAGGTTGGTTTGCCATTACCTCTTCCTGCTGCCCTTTTAAAGTTTGAACTGACTGTAACTTGACAGCTGAAACATCACACTCATCCTTGTTGGCAAAAGATACTGAAGTGTGTTTGTGAAAGGACACATCCTGCAGTATTCTGGCCAATTAAAACAGCACCATGGGTCTGGATGGTGCTGATTGCTGCTTATGCATGTTTTTGTCCTGTCCAGCTGTAATTGCCTCCGCCCACACAGCAGCACCTTGAATTACCCAACAATAATGACTCATCCTATTAGCGCTTTTCTAGAAGTTTCAGATGTCAACAGTCAAGGGCTTTACACTTCAAAAAGATCCACCTTATAACTTCTTTAGTTTAGTGATGAGTCATTTTACTGTCGACATCATGGAAATATTCCAGGAGTGAAGAAGTTCAGAGATCTGCAGCATAGAGAATTAAAAATACCCCATCGAAATAAACAAATAAATAAATAAAATGCATCATCTTTAAAAAGAAAAACACATGTCGCTCTGATTAAATGGTTTTATTCCCTCTGGTCAATAAGAGCTTGTTAGAGGACAACAGCGCTAAAGCCGAGGCAGCAGTAACATAGATATGAGACATTTTTATGGCCACGATTCATACAAATATACATACCATAATCACATTAGTAAAAAGAGATGACTAACTTCATTTAATGCTGATCCCAGTGACACACAGGAGACACTTTCTGCTTGACGACAACTAACGAGATTGTCAGCATTTACATTCTGTGTTCAGTTCCCTGTTAGCCCTTTAAAGCTTCAACAGAAAAATATACCTTGGATAAAGAACTCTTTAAAAATGATAAGTGCTGCTATCGACCTGATATTATCTCAAAGCTGAACAGAAAAATAAAGGTCTAAAAATAAACTGGTTTCTTAATAGATTGAGTCAACAGCAGGTTTGCACTTTTTAAAGGGGTCTGCCTGTTGGTCCGTCTCTAGGTCCGTCTCTAGGTCCGTGCATCCTTTGGCCTCAGATATTTGGCTCTTTACTCCTTCAGCCAGGTGAGCAGCTGCGGTGTGTAATAGGTGATGATGATGTCAGCACCTGCATCACAGAGTGTGGAAATACTATTACCATCAAGTCTGATGACATCGAGAGCTGAACTGACACAGATCTATGTTACAGCAACATTCATATTTTGAACTTTAATACATATACAAGTATACACAGACAATTACATTCAATGTGCAAATGTGAACCAAGACAAACACGCTAATTCATTTTTTTTTTGAGGAAATAATGAACACACACAGTACGTGTACGCTCACTGAGGGCTTCAGTGTGCTTCTAAGGCAGTGCTTGTTGGATTGTCTAATGCTTGATTGATGATTGACGCGTCTGTGAGCGTGTGTGGGTGAGAAATCATGCTGTAGATGTGACTTTTCTATACGCTGCCTCATGCAGTTTGGGAGAATATCAGTTTGTCGTGAGGAGAAACCTGCAAGGAGTATAAAAGATCCGAACTTTTCTGCGTCAGCTCATGTCCATGCTGAAAGCAGAGCTGAGGCTTAAAGGGAAATTTAGGTTTATTTCAACCTGTCTCCTATCATCCTAAATTTGTTTCAAGTGACTAGTGACATAAAAATAATAATTAGCATGTTAGCAGTTAGCCTAGATACAGCCGGGGTGCATAGTAGCGTCAGACCTGTTAAAACGTAAGTGAACGGGCAACCTTCAGGTGCAAAGTTAGTCCACTAAAAAAGCTTTTTTTCCCACAAAGACCGCCTCATATCGTTAGGATAAATGTCAGAGAACATATAGAAAACGACATGTAAACGTGTTGTCTTACCTTACCGGTGTGCTGCCATGTTTGTTTACCATTTAGCTCTGCTTTCCAAAGCACGGCCGAAATATCGCGAGAACAAGCAGCGATCTCATACCGTGCCTGAAATCTCGCCAGCTCTAGATTAAGCCCAGCTGGATACTACTCCAGATGGAGGTGTCTCGTCCTCGGTCACATCCAGACCTTGAAAATAAGGCTGCAACCGGTCCCATTCCTTGCAACAGAGGCATTCCTCTTCTGTGGGCACTGGGTTACAGCATTCACAGGTAACGTTACACCACCAATCTCCAGAGCTACGCAGCCTTGCAGCAGCCATTCCTCCTCTCTCGTCCTCTACCTGTTGCGCCTCTCTCTCCTCCTCCTCCGTTCTTCAATTTCACGAAGCTCTTCGTCAGTGTATTCTGGCTCAAATAAATAAGGGTGGCCATCAAACTCTGCAAAATCAAATTCCTCCTCCACAAAGTCAAAGTCTGGCAAAAAGTCAGCCATTATTCTATAAATCTTTCATAAAAAAAATGAATGAACTTTTCAGGCTACTGTCCGGTTCTGCCTTCCAGCTGTTGCTGCTTGTTCTAGCAAGATTTCAAAAACGATATGAGATAGCTGATTGTTCTAGCGATATTTAAACAGAGATTTGGAAAGCAGAGCTAAATGGTAAACAAACATGGCAGCACACTGGTAAGGTAAGGCAACATGTTTACATGTCGTTTTCTATATGTTCTCTGACATTTATCTTAATGATATGAGGTGGTCTTTGTGGGAAAAAAGCTTGTTTAGTGGACTAACTTTGCACTTGAAGGTTGCCCGTTCACTTACGTTTTAACAGATGCTACTATGCGCCCTGGCTGTATCTAGGCTAATGGCTAACATGCTAATTATTATTTTTATGTCACTAGTCACTTGAAACAAATTTAGGACGATAGGAGACAGGTTGAAATAAACCAAAATTTCCCTTTAAAGAGGCGCGATGCCTACTTCAGATTGTATGTGTCTGGACATGGTTCTCAACATGGAGGTGGTGGAGCCGGCGGCTAGCAGCTAACGATGCTAACTCCATAAACAGCGCTAAATAATGGCAACAGTGCTGACAGTGCTAATGTTGCTAACCACAGGGGAACCAGAGCATGAGTGCTAAGTTTCTGCAACAACGCTGTCTCGAAATCAGCTGTAACCGCAGTATGAGCTCAGTGCAAATCGGCAGTGATGAGCTAGCCAGTTGGACGCACTCATGCACTAACATGCAAGGACGGCCGGACCAGTTTACCACAACAAACCACAGAGAAGCTCAGCTTACAACACACACACAGAGGGAGCGTGACTTCAGTCTCTGCTCAGGACACCATTACTCCACTATATCTCTACATAGCAGACAGTGGTTTGCTGCTGTATTAATGCTCTGAATGTCACAAACAGAACATTTAAGGCTACTTTCAGACTTCGGGGAAATTACATTGTTTCTCAAATCAGATCTTTTAGACTATGTAGCTACACTGGTGACACAGCTTTCTGACAAAGACGCATGAGAAATGGAGGTCCATCATTTCACTCTGAAACCTTAGACTACAACAGCAGTTACACCTGAAAACAAAACCTGTTTTTTTTAATTAATACAGTCTCTCTTTCTGAGTGATAAAAATATTGGCTCAGTGTGGAGGGAGGGCCAAAGATACATTAACAAATTTAGCCAATGTAGTATGTACACGGTCTTTGTTTAGGGGGTCTGAGCGTCGTGTCACATAAAGTCCTCTCCTCTCACCTGCCCTGCGGAATGCAGTCATGGCCTCCATCACAGCGGCTCGCAGGTCAAACGCTCCGGCCTGCGCTCCGTGCCACATCATGGCAAACTCCCCCGACACGTTGTACACCGCCAGGGGGTGAGTGGGGAACTGAAGAGGCACATGAGGAAAAGGAAAGATTAATAACAATGTGGACACTTCCTCCAAAAGGCACACTGATATATCAAAATATTTTAAAGGAAATCTCTGACATTTTTCTAAATATGCTTCTGGGATTTCTCTGAAATACAATGATTCAATGATTCAGTTACACACCTTGTCCTTGACTTCTCTCACGATGTCCAGATAAGGCAGACCTGGTTTCACCATCAGCATATCAGCTCCTTCTCTCACATCTCGATCCTGCAGCACAGAACAATGGTGAGATCTCCTGTGACTGCTTCATCATAACACCTGTAAACCAAATGTACACACACACAAATCAACTTACCACAGCCCGAATGGCAAGTCCTCTCGCTCCAGGAGGCAGCTGGTAGCAGCGTCTGTCCCCAAACGCAGGTTTGGACTGAGCAGCATCTCTGTACATTAAAACAGCAGAAAGTTTGTTCTCACTTCAAAGTGCTATTTCACTTGTCTGTTTAAACCTCATCCTAAAGTGCATGCTTACCTGAAAGGTCCATAATAACAAGAGGCAAACTTTGCACTGTAGCTCAGCACTGAAACCTGGAGGAGAGCAAAGAGAAGAAAATGCTAAAAACTGCTTTTCTGAAACATCTTGTCGCGTCCTTTATGATTTTCTTTCTGTCAACAAACCCCATGAAAAGACCAAACCAACAAGGAATTGAATCTGCTAACAAGTACTGTGTGTATCCAACCCTGATATCTTATTCCTCTGTGCCAGAGAGCTCTGTTTTTGTCCGAAAACTATTAACAATACATCAGTGATCCACACAGTATAACTGGGTGACATGTTCCTTCATTACCATTTCAAGTCAATGCCTCAAACACCATCCTGCTGCCGTAAATATCCACCAGAGGACCAAATATGAATTAATCTGCGGTTGAAAAAGTCCAACAAATGCACTTTTTCCTCCAAGCAAAGAAGCATTTGCTTTCAGCAACTTTTTTTACCCTAACTGGATGACAGTGATCTGCTTTTTATGAATGTACCTGACCAGTGCCTAAACTAGAAGGATGCTGTAAAACATTGTGCCTTTCATGTTATTACTCACTGTATAAATCACATGCACCATCGTATGCTGCTGCGCTGCTGATATATTCCTGTTTGAGTTCGTGTTTGCTGCACACAGTATGGGAATATTATGGCTGGGTATCACCACTGATTTCCTGAACTGATTCGATTTCGATTCACATGGTCCCGACTCGATTCGATTTTCAGTTCGATATTGATTCGATTGGGGGTATTTCCAATACAATACCAGGACTAAAACTGAATGTTAACTATTAACTAAATGTTTCTAGAGCAGCACCAGTAATATCAAAACAGCAAAGTCACAATATAAACTCAATAAACAAATCTAAAATGTCAATAAAATATATCATTCCCGAAATCACAATACTGAATACCTTTTGGTCTTTTGATGAGATTTATTGACTTTAAAGAAAAATAGAGAATAAAGTGAACTTTTGTAAAACTTCCTTTGAGGTTATGATTGATTTTACTTTGTACATCTATCTTTCTTCAAACTGCAGGGATTTTCATTCCTTTACCTTGTTCCCCAAACCATTGGATATCAGGGCTTGTTTGATGGCTCTGACTCTTCCATCCATCATATCAGAGGGAGCGATGATGTGACAGCCTGCAGAGCAACACCAAGACAACATGATTAGGAATGCAACAACACATTGTCATTACTGGATGACAAAAGCTATGTCAGTTTAGTTCAAAATAAAGAATTTTTTTAAATTGATCTTTTACTGTAGAATGTAACTAATTGTGAAACTTGCCCAAACTCTCAGAATGCAAACGACATGGTTGCCCTGGCTCTGTGAGGCTGTTCGTGAAAACAACTTTCAAATGCCAATACAATTAAACCAGCATATTTTCCTTCTTAATATCCAATTTATTACAGAAAGAATGTTTGAAAAGCTTGTTTTCCACTTGCATTTGCACAGCATTTGTAAGGAAAAATGACAGATGTAGACCTCTCAGCATCTCTACAACTGAAACAGGTGAAAATATTATGATAAAGGCTCAATAAATAAATAAATAAATGAACACACTGATGCATCCCTAACTTTCATAGATCATTCAAATCAAGTACAGAGGCTCACTGAGAGGTTGTTTGTTTTCTAAAGTGGGAAAACTTTGAAAAACGGGAAACAGGATTTACCAGCTCGGGCATAGGCCAGCGCCACTTCCGCCAAACGCAGACAGCTGGCGTCATTGTTCAGAGTACCGTCATCGTTCAGAATACCTGTGGGGAATAAAATTGAAAAAACAAAACAAAACGCTAGTAATGAAATCCAAAACATGGGCACGATCTCTTTATGCTGCTGTTTAGGTTAAATGAAGAGAGGACACTGACCACAGTGTCCATGTGATGTGTAGGGACACAAGCAGACATCGCACGCCACCAGCAGCTCCGGGAACAGAGATCGGATCTTCTTCACTGCCAGTACAGCCGGCGTGTCGTCTGTGTCGGCACCGGAACCTCTGTCGTCCTAACACGAAAGGTTTGCCACTCAGAACATTTCATTCAACAACTGTGGGCATTAACCTGATGCTGCAACTGTTTCCACTCTTCTGCCTTTAAAGGAACAGTTCACCCCCAAATCAAAAGTAAATATTATTCCTCTTACCTGTAGTGCTATTTATCAATCTAGATTGTTATGGTGTGATTTGCTGAGTGTTGGAGATATTGGCCGTAGAGATGTCTGCCTTCCCTCCAATATAATGGAACTAGAAATTCATGACCTAGTTACTCACTTTAATCCACAGGCCTTTTTGTGAACAGTTTCATGCAGGAACTATTTCCTTTCTACTGAACAACACCCACTGACCACATCACTACTGCTAGCTCACCTAGCACCACTGAGCTAGCTAACGTTACAGCTCAACCCAGGAGGAGGCCATAATGCTTAAATCTTGCGCTGCTAGAACACAAGCCTCTTATCCATGAGTAGATGCATACTTCCTTCTGCGCAGTGATACAGTTGATGAGTGTAGTTCAGTAGAAAGAAAACAGTTCCTAGAAAAGAGACACTTTGAGCACCACAATCTGAGTGCCATCTAGTTCCATCATATTTGAGATAAAGCAACCATCTCTACGGCTAATATCCAACACTCAGCACATCACACCAAAACAATTAAGACTGATAAAAAGCATTTCGGTAAGAGGAAAAATATTTATTTTTGATTTGGGGGTGAGTTGTCCCTTTGTTGTGTCTTTTTCCCCATCTTTTGGTCTTACATACCTTTTCTATTTTTGCAGGGACACCAAAAATCAGCACACACTTCAAACCGTTCTCCACAAGCGGCCGCAACATTCCCTCCAGCTTGTTCACCCCATATCTATGGATGGGAAAACATGCAACATAAACACAAAAGGGCCTTTCACACAATGCCTGAAATTGCAATAACAATGATCACCCTTATCAAGTTTTATTAAAAAAAAATAGAAACTAGATATCTTTACAAATATTGGCAAAACATTTCCCTTTTCAAACAGGAACTACAACAACTGAGTGCAGTTCAGTCCCTGTGTCTTGTAATTCAGAAGAACATGAAATGTAAGAGCCAGTTTGCATTTTGGTTTTGTTGTGGGCAATAGAGGTCTAACGGATTCTCTTCTTATCTTAGTCCAGGTACAGTGTTTGGCTCTGGGTCCACCCTGCCTGACTGCTTTTATCTGAAGACAACACCCTCAGTGGGTGCACAGCTGCAGGTCATGCGGTTTTTGTTTAAATGGACACTTGAATCCCCCCAGTCAACACAGGGCAATTAAAACTGTGTTTTTGCAATTGCTCAGAGAAAAACAGGTGCTTTAATGTTAATGGTTCACAGTTATGGAATGAGTGTGATAGGATTTGTTACGATGACTCTTACCTGGCCTGACCCGGCAGGCTGCCAATGGGCTCCACTGCATCTGCACTGTCTCTGTGGGAAAGAGGAACAAAGAACAAAGATTGAGACCAAGTCCATTTTAGCTTAAAGTCAAAAATATTGTACTACACTTGACTCCTCGTGATGAAAACACCTAATTATTGAAGTCCAAAGTCATTTCATAGTTGCCGACCCCTGATCTCTGTCACATCAAGGAGTCAGTATCCTGTACTTATATTTTTTGCCCTTCCATGTGATTTAAATCTCACTTACGTGATGAAGATGGGGTAGATGAGATTGTCAGGTCTTAAATCAGTGGCACAGGTCTGCCAGTATCTTAGTGTTGGGTGGAAGTAGCCGCTGTGGAGGATGGACTCCGCTGGTGTCTGCATCTTTACCCTGAGACAGAGAGACCATTAGTGATAGAAGACAGAGCGTGACACAGGGAGGAGGTCAGGTTCTGCTTGGACTTGAGTCAGAAAAGCGCTCTCACACCTCTGTGCTTTATCTCAGCTCAGTCACCAGTAAAACTGACCAGGCATGCGTGATGCTGCTTCTCTAAACAGCAGCTTGGCTCTGTCTCACTGCAGAGAGAGCAGGCTGCAGGCTTTCAAATGGACTTCTCGTAGGGGGCATAAAGATAAGCAATAACCACAAACAGCATTTATTCCGTGCTGTGATTGTAGAAACGGTAATGCTTACATGATCTGATCTTACTCTTGCTGTATTAATGTACCTTCCACTACCTTCTGACCTCGGATATGAAGCACTGTGGCAGATGGAAATGCCAAACTGCACCTTAAACATGTCACGCCATTTCTGTCAGCTCTAAAACACACACTACTAGTGGCCGCTGTGGCTGCCTTTTAACAGGCACGTGTGTGTTTTTTGACAGTTCGTGTGCCATTAAACTAAAGGAGAGGCTAAGTTGCTATTATAACATGTCATTGTCACCTTGGCTGGGAAAACACCTTCATACTAACTATAAAATGTACAGAGACTGTTAAAGCCACGACCCACGGCGACTAACGACTCATATCTGTGATATTACAATCCGAAAATATCTATAAATACCACATAACTGCTACATGAACACAGCATACTTACCTGTGAGTACGAGAGTCTGCTACTTCTCCACACTTCAGTCAACTGCCAGTGTTTCTTCTTCGGTTGAATCCGAGGATTAGCGGGCGACGTGCGGCGACGTGATGGCGCACTACCGCCACCTACTGGCTAGAGGCTTTCTTACAATAAGCTAGCTGTAAAGCAGGGATACTCAACTTGCTTAGCCTTGGGGCCACTTTTGCAAAATGATAGGAGGCCAAGGGCCATTTAATAAACAAACATTAATAATATTTATCATTTGAAATTAATAAATGAGGCAAATTCAGTCTCAGCAGCCACAAACAGGTCAGGTGAACGCAGGGGTAATTCTAGGATTTTAAGACATTTGGGACTCAGGCTGGACCCCAGATCCTCCCCTGGTACTTTTTTTTTTTATAAGCAAGCTCTATTTTAATAGGTTTTAATGCACTGTGGCACCTTATTTACATTCAAAATAAAAAAAAAAAAAAAAAAATCTCAGTATGAAGGCGGCACAGTGGTATGGTTGTTAGCACTGTCGCCTCACAGCAAGAGGGTTGCCGGTTCGATCCCGGGTGTTGGAGCCACTGGTGTGAATTGGAGCCCTTCTGTGTGGAGTTTGCATGTTGGCCCCAGTGTCAGCGTGGGTTCCCTCCGGGCACTCCAGCTTCCTCCCACAGTCCAAAGACATGCAGTTTGGGGACTAGGTTAATTGATAACTCTAAATTGTCCGTAGATGTGAATGTGAGTGTGAATGGTTGTTAGTCTCTATGTGTCAGCCCTGTGATAGTCTGGCGACCTGTCCAGGGTGTACCCTGCCTCTCGCCTGATGTCAGCTGGGATAGGCTCCAGCCCCCCCGTGACCCTCAAGAGGATGAAGTGGTTAGAAGATGAATGAATGAATGAATGAATTAATCTCGCTATGAATCAATTTCAAAATTCAAAGTTTAGTATCACTGATATAAAGACACCACCCAAATGAAAATTATTGTGTTTTTATTACATCAACATATAACAGAAATCATAGGGTTGGGTGATTATAACAGGTGGACTTTTCCAGAAAACAAACCGGAAACAAAAATGGCAGAAGATTTGCTCAGATGAGGTAAAACACCTTGGTTTAATAATATCAAAAATGTGCATAGTGGAAAAGAATGAATGTTTTTCTTAGACTGAAAGCTGTACAGAAATCACTATACAATTGGCTCATGCGAGACTTATTTCTTTCTGCCCCTCTTTATACACTTCACCAAAAGCGTCATTCTAACTCCATAATATTTGAGTTCATATGGAAAAATAAAACTTTTTCCTATGAAAATCACACTTAGTTAGGGATTATGATAACGGGGGTTTAAGAGATTTGAATCTGTAGATGTGGTTTTTAGAATCAAATGGTTAAAAGAATGAATTTCTCACCCTCAATCTATGTGAACAAATTACTTAACAAGGTTCTTGCTTAATGTGATTTTGAGTTGTCTAAAATTCCCATAAAGCTTCCTTCATATAAAATCAGTTTTAAAACTGATTGGTAAAACAAGGGTTTAACATTTGTATGTAAGTTCAGATGGAAACTTGTTATCCTTTGGAGATTTTTCCAGAAAGTTTGACATTGCTGTTTCAACAAAAGGGTGTGACCAAATCTGAAAAGTAGGCTGTGATACAAAGCAGCATGCAGTTTTCTCTCATAGCACCTTTCTTGCCCTCTCTAAAAGTTGGTGACATTAATTTGATGGGGAAAGAATGTAATAACAGAATGATCAAACAAAAAAAACTTAGTGGACTTCAACTCGTGCTCTGTACAGGATAATATGGAGGTCCCTTCAAAGAAAGCGTCCTTAATTTCACTTATCATGTCCTGTTTTTAAAAACGCTATTTCGGCCACCGTACAATCCGGGTTTAGTCTTCTCGCGATAGTTCACAGAAGGCGACGAGAAGGAAAAAAAAGCAGCGATGCTAACCGTCTGTTAGCTTTGTGTACTGACAGTTTCGCATCCAGTTAGATGGAGGAGAAAACACCTGAGTGTTATTAAGGTAAATTGATGTGTAGTTACATTAAAAAACATTTTATATAAGCATATACGTGCGTTGTGCTGGTATTTAGACGGTCTGTATCATCTCTGAGTGTCTGTGGTTAGCTAACATTGTACTGCTCGCATCGGCTATAGTCTGTATCATCGATGTAACTGCAGCTTGACTTGCTCTGTAACGTTAATGTTATACTACGTGTCAATTTAAACTGTCTACCAGTATCAGCCGGTGTGTAGCTGAGGTTAAGCAGTCTGAATATTGAGCTGACAGTGTAATAAAATTATAGATAGCTGGAATCACTGCCTATCTTTAACAACGTTAGCTGTTTACTGATTTAGTGAGATGTGATTTGGGCCCTGACTACTCTACGTTACAGTGAGTCTGTGGGTGTGTGTCTTGTTGATTTCTCCATCGGCTCTGTCAGATGGAGCACCCTGTACCCTCTTTTCTGATATTGTGCTTTCTTTATCATACATTAGGAGGGGTTTCCAGACACTGGGAGCACTTCCTGCAGTCACCTCCACAACCATCCACCTCAGGGTGGATTTGAAGATGTAGCAAAGAGTGAAGTGGTTTATCTCTGCAGTACGTCACCATTTCTGCCAGTGCCCAGGCGTAATTGGTGACCTCTTATCTCCACCCTTTGCCAGCTAACTGTGGAGCACTTTGGCCCCTTACCAGGGCTGCCTAGTGCGTGACTCGGCCATCCTCAGTCAGTCCGTCCCTGGTTGAAGACCCTGCAGTCCTCAGCTATGCTGTTCTCCCTGAGGGAACTGGTCCAGTGGCTGGGCTTTGCAACCTTTGAACTCTTCCTCCACCTGCTAGCTTTACTGGTCTTCAGCATGCTGGTGGCTCTGCGAGCTGACATGTTCACCCCCACGCTGAGCTGGTGGCTGGTGTTCGTCCCGCTGTTCGCTGCTGATGGCCTCAGCACCTACTTCACGGCCATCGTGTCCATCCGTCTTTACCAGGAGAATGAGAAGCGCCTGGCAGTGCTGCGGCTCCTCTGGGTGCTGACGGTGCTCAGCCTGAAGCTGGTGTGAGAGGTGCTGCTGTGCCAGAAGCTGGCGGAGCAGGAGCAAGCCAGAGACCTGTGGTACGGCCTCATCGTCTCCCCGCTGTTCATCCTGCTGCAGCTGCTGATGATACGAGCGTGCCGCGTCAACTGAGGAGAGGCAGTTTGTGGTTGTGCTTTCACATCACTGAGAACACAGGAACAGAGAGCAATCTTCATCTGCCATAAGAGATTTAAAACATAACAATGGTGTCATTTTTCTTTTGGCTCTTTGCTACTTTTTTAAACAAGGAGAAATAGCCCTGACAGTTTTTCATAGACATGCTCCCAAGTCCAGAGTAGAATTTATATACATTGATGTTTCTAATAGCTTCAAAATTAACAGAATTCATTGCTTGCTTATGTTATAATGCAGTATTTCTCTTCCCAAAAGCGTGGAGGCTCTTACAGCAGCACCATGGTTTTGGAATAAGAACAGGGTGACCACATACTTATAGCAGTGTAGTGTGAACACACTTTATGGCACCCATTGTTATAGTAAACCTAAAGTTAATTCTGAAGACCAAATGGAAGTAATTGTAACTAGACAATGAATTCATTGTTTGTCCTGGTAGTCCAGAGCCCCCTTTTCATCAGCTTGGATTATGGCTGTAAGTTTTATATACTGGTACTTTTAGGAATAAAGAGTCAGATAAGTATATGTGCATTTGGGACAAGGAGTGCCTTTACATTGTGCAATCAATGGCAGAGAACGAGCCATGAGGAAAATGTATACCAGAGTTGTGTTTTAACGCACATGTACACACAACACATGTAAATGTTATAAACAGGTGAAACTGAAAAGCTGTTATGTCCCAGGCACCTTTTAGGGGCAACAGAGCTCAAGGAGCTGCTGCAGTGCTGTTGCTTTTTCCCGGAGAAAAAGACATTGCTTGCCCACAGGATTTGATTTATTATCATGTGTCTCACTTTGTTGCCTGTTGCAGGGAGTGTTGCTCACACAGCCCCCCCCCCCCCCCGAAGAACTGAATGTGATTTCCACAAGCAGTCCGTTGTGTGCACACATCTTCCCTGAATATCGCTGTTTATTTGTACAATATGTGATGTATTTGATCTGAGTTTGATCCTTCCTTATGTATGTGCTGCATGTATTTATGGACTCATTTTAAAGTAATTCCAGATGTGAAATTCTGTGTATTATGTATATGTTGATTTTTGGAAAGAAATTCACCTTATTTATATTATGTTGTTGTATGGCACCCTTATTGTCATCTGTATATACGTGTAAATAAACCATCAACATTTATCTAATGTCGTCTAATCAATGTTGAAATCTAGTAGTGGGTGTGAGCAGAGATGTATCTAGTGTGTCACTGGACCTTGGTCCCCCTGGCCACAAGGTGGTGCTACTGGCCTTTTAAATGGGCGTGTACACCACGCAAAGAACCATACAGATTTTTTTATTTATTTTTATTTTTTATTTTTATTTTAACCTGTCTTGCTTATGTAATATGACATTAAAATAGTCAAAAATATAATTAAAAAAACAGACCGAAGGAAATAATATAACCAGACCAATAACTGTAATAATAATAATAATAAAAAAATAAGCGAAAAAAAGCGTACCTGTGATAGAGTGAAAAAAGTGTGACTTCTAGCTACACCAGCTGTTCTTTAGTCTCAGTCAAGTACATTTTGACGAGCATGCGATGGTACGTTTTTATTATGTTCTCCTCCTGTGCTCTCTTATCCTTGTTCTTAATTATGGTTCTGTGATAAATGTTTGATGAGGTACAGTGATCGCTTGTAGTACCCAAGAATAGCCCTCTTAGTGCTGATTCATGAGCAGCAGGCTACTACTGCAGCCGGATTATCGACAGGTGGCATCACCGGCAAATGCTGAATGAACAGTCGGCACTGGATATCCCCTACTTATCACACAGGAACAATAACAATGGAGGGCTGCACTGCAACAGCCTACTCTTTGCTTGTTATAAAGGAAAACTACACAAAGACCACAAAAATAACGACATTGGAACATTATTGAGAAACAACAGGTAGTAAAGTAAAATAAGAAAATAAAAAAAGCTTAAATAAGTCACTATTCAGTAGGCTACATTAATACAATGGAATATAATTTAGTTCTTACAGGATCTAAGCAATAATACAAATATTTAGTAGGGGAGGCTGGGGATGGTTGCAACAGCCCCTATTCCTCTAATCAGAAACCTGCTACAGTGATGATACTCATATTGCACATGTTCATGTAGGCCCAGGATCTGTAAACATAAGTGTTCTATTCATGTCATGGAGAGGTGGTAATAAAGTCAGCATCCATTTTCTTGATGTCCTCATCCCCATATGGTATAAATGAGGAGATTTTATTTGCTTGTTTTTATGAATATATTTGAATTCTTTATGTAGTGAATATATTTGTGTTGTTACATATTTTGATGCTTTAAACTTTATGACTATGTGCCATGAAATATAGTGGTTCCCGCTGCTGGGATGCATTTGTTGTATTCATGGTCAGCTATAATTAACCCTACCTGTGTATATTGTTTGTGACATCGCCAGAATACACACTTTCTTATCTGAAACGTCCATGTGGTAATTTTAAAAATTCAAATTGGAGCGCTGTCCTAATCTTTATTTAAGTATAACTTACACTGAGGATGCAGCACCCTGCCTTAAAGGTGCACTCGAGTGAGCGCACTGTGCCTAATTTTTAATTTTTATGTTTTTAGCACAAAGTGGTGCAGTGGTTGGCATTGTCGCCTCACAGCAAGAGCATTCCTGGTTCGAGCCTGGGGAGTTTGCATGTTCCCTGAGTGCTCCAGCTTCCTCCCACAGTCCAAAGACATGCAGGTTAATTGGTGACTCTAAATTGTCCGTAGGTGTGAATGTGAGTGTGTATGGTCGTCTGTCTCTATGTGTCAGCCCTGTGATAGTCTGGTGACCTGTCCAGGGTGTACCCTGCCTCTCACCCAATGTCGGCTGGGATAGGCTCCAGCCCCCCTGCTAAACCCAACACGATAAACAGTCATAGAAATGAATGTTCTCAGTATGCCAAGAGTGAGGAACAGGGTCACTAACTGAGGGGCTCCCTACATGCTAAACTCAATGACTGTTATTTGACAATTAATACAAAATAAATTAATAATACTGCAATATCATTGTATAACAATGCATATATTCAGCAAACTGTGGTCACTGAGGTAAAAATTATAAGTTAATAAATGAAATCTGATGTATTTTTAACATGTTGCAACTGTCCCCAGTCTCCCCTACATTTCTAAGGCGCTACATAAACCATATTCTTGCAAGTCAAATGGCATTGTTAGGATTGTAATTGAATAAATAAATAAATAAATAAATAAAACATTAACTGAGGCATTATAATACAAAAAACATCGACAACAAATCTATATTTAATCATTAATCAAAAGATAAATCCTCTGATGTTATTAAATACAGAACAAAAAAAGGGAGGGGCGGGTTGAACCTGAACGCAACACTTTGATTGACAGGCCTTCGTTGCCCAGTCAACAATAGAAACGGGAGTGGTTTACGTCAGTGTGTGGCGTTCTGAGGAGGGGGCGTGCCTACGAGCAATGACGACCAATCACGAATCGCGTGGGACTGCCGAAGCCGCTCGTGCTGCTGCGGATGGGCGGGGCCGCGTTCAGGAGCTGTGTAGAGAGGCAGTGAGAGAGCAGAGGGAGCAGAGAGGAGAGGAGAGAGAAAAAACAGACAGTGGGGATGTGTGTGTGTGCGCGGTGAACGGTGCTGCAGGTACGGTCAGAGCCGGATACAGGTCTTACAGCCGCACCGGACCGCGGCAGAACCGCCTCAGAGCCTGCCTCTCTCCTCCTCATCCCCTCATAACGACCCTCCGCGATGTCGGGCGGAGGAGAGGTACGCGTCCTCCGCCAAGAGCCCGGGCAAGAGAGCCCGAGGATGCCGGCCTGGAAGAGAGAGATCTTGGAGAGGAGGAAGGCGAAGGGCGGCGGGTCTGGAGGAGCCGGTTCCGCGGAGACGAGCCCCGGCGGTGCGGGGTCGCAGCGGGTTAACGGAGAGCTGACGGGAAATGTGAACGGCAGCAGCGGCGGCAGCAGCAGCAGCGGCGGCGGACCCAAGAGAGACAGCGGACCGAGCGGCGGGTCCGGGCGGAGCTACACCATCACCACAGCCAGTCAACACTTCGCGAACAACAAAGAGCCACGGCCGATGGACGCGGAGAGGACGACACCGAGGGAGGGCGACGGACAGGAGAGCCTGGTGCTGCAGGAAAGCCTGGGCCCGCTGGAGGAGAACCCCTTTATCAAGCTGGAGAAGGAGCGGAGGAGGCGACAGGACCGAGAAAACGCCGCTCGTCCGGTCCAGCACATCCTGGAGCTGTATGGCAGTGTACCCGGCATACGGACTATCCGCGCGGAGAATATTATCATAATTGAGTCGGATCCGGATTATTTCCCGGAAGCTGGGGGGCTCAAAAGCGGGTCCAAATGGCAGCAGAACGGTGTCAGTAGTTACAGCTCTCTGAACGACCTCCTGGACCGGAGAGGGAGTGCTGTTACCGAGATAAGAGCCAAGGAAGTGGTAATTTATGACACCACGTTAAGCAAGAGTGAGGAGAACTTGAGCACCCTGGGCCGCCCTGATCATGAGGCCCCATCATATGAGACAGGTGAGGGTCAGGGCAGGGTGAGCCGGATGCTGCAGAAGTTTGACAGCAACTACGGGAAGCTGCAGAAGAAGTCCCACAGCACAGAGAACCTGCTGGACCTGGACTGTAGTGCCAGCAGCAGGCCACGACTCTGGTCCAAGCCACAGCCAGATCTGGTGCCAAAGGCCAGGCCGGGCCCATCGGTCAGCAGCCCGGGCAGCAGCCAGCCATCGTCGCCTGTCTTCCAGGGCCCCTTGTCTTCCAAACCAAAGTCGCAGCCTGCTGTCTCTGAGGTGGGCAGCCCCCAGCGCCTTGCCGGGCCCCCTCAGCCTGTGTCTTCCTTCCGTCAGCGGTTTGAGGAGAGCGGAGGCCGTGGTGCAGATGAGCCAGACAGGGGGCAAACCAAGCCCGTCCGAGAGAGAGACTGGGAGGGCTCTGAGGTGCCACCCAAACCCAAGGTGCCATGCTCTCCAGAGACCCGTCGTGTCCGTGCCGAGTCCCCCTCAAGCCCCATGTCATTCAAGGTGTCGCGCTCCTCATCCGACTTCGAGATCCGTCCCTCTCCAAAGCCAGACCTCACCCAAATTCCTGACTCGGACACCCAGGCACGGGCCCTTGCAAACCTGCGCCTGCAGTCCCGCAACTCCTTCACAGTGATCCCCAAGCGGCGTGTTGGTGCCTCCTCTGGAACAGGCAGCCCAACACCATCCAGCCCAGTCAGGTCTTCCCCTTCCCACAGAGTGGCAGAGGTGCCCACTCCAGGAGTGCCAACCTCCCACCCCCCTACGCCCACCTTGACAAAGAGAATTGAGGAGAAGGAGGTCGAGAGGCCGGTGAGGCAATCCAAGCCTGAACCACCTCCTTCTGTTGCCACAACTCCAGCGCCTCCTCCAACCTCAGAACCCTCGTCTCCACCTCCAGCTCTAACCCCAGCTCCCTCCTCTCCACCTGCTCTGTCTTCACCCCCCTCTTCTCCGGCTGTCCCATCTTCACCCTCCTTCTCTCCAGTTCCCTCCGACTCTCCAGCCCCGTCTCCTGTCCCTTCCACCCCCTCCCCAGCTCCAGAGCAACCTCCCGTGGATCAGCTGCCAGTAACAAACATAGATGACATTGAGGTGGAGCCTCAGCAGCGTGTCCCTGCTCCCAGCCCTGTGGCGGGGAGGAGGAAGGGGAACACCTTCACTGTGGTCCCCAAACGTAGGGTGGAGCCCGAGGGCCAGCCGAGCTCACCTGAGCCTCAGCAGGAAGCCCCAAGTGAGGCTCCACCGGGGTCCACGCCGCCACAGGCCCCGTACGCTCAGCTGGGCTCCCTGCTGAAGAAACGGTACCCAGCTGTGGAGGAGATCGAGGTCATCGGTGGGTACCTGTCCCTCGCTAAGTCCTGCCTCTCCAAGTCGGGCTCCATGGGGAAGAAGGTGAGAGAACAAACTTTGTGGCTTTGTTGACAGTTGATCAATTGATCAGCCAACCATTTTGATTATCAATTAATGTTTTTTATCAAGCAAAGATGCACACAAAACAGATTCAGCTTCACATATGTGAGGATTTGTAGCTGTTAACTGAACATCTTTGGGTTTTCAACTGTTTAGCAGACAAAACAAGCCAAGTAAAGACACAACCTTAGTCTC